TTGAGAGAGAGGAGTGTATTTTTCTTTAAAAATATGAGAAATTATAGTCAAATTTTAAAAAATTTAAAAAATTGATAACACCCAAAACATATATGGCAGTATTATTTCTACATACGTAATATTTTCAAATTCTAAAATGTTTTTACTTCTATTTCAAGAGCTTTTCCTTATGAGGACATCCCTATTCATTAGTTTGTTTGAAGGTTAATTAAGTTGTATCAGATTATTTTAAAGAATATCGTTGTAAAAAAAGAGATTATTTAAGAGATTTTTTAGTTTGTAGTTAAAATTCATTTAATGTGTGTCCGAAGAACTAATTATAAGTGCATGAGAAAAAATAATTTATTTAAAGTGTATAATAGCAATGCTATTATAATTGTTTATTTGAAATGAGGAAAGATGCTTCGTATATATATAAATAATAAAGAAGGTTAAATTGTTAAAATCGCCCCACTTATTTGCATACGAGTAATGGCAAAAATTTCAATTTTGTTCAGATTTTTCTTGTTTAAGCCATCTTTTTTTTTCCTTATTTCAACGAGAGTGAAGATAGTAATAATGTCATTATTTTATATGCGACTTTTGGTACGTTTTAAATGTGTATGCCATTACCTCTCCTCAAACCAATTAATATAATTTAATGAAATACCAAATATTTTCTAAACTCGTATTTCGAGATAGAAAAGGCGAAAGTTCCGTCATATAAAATAGAAAGAATTTCAGATATATAATCAAAATAAAAGTAGTGAACAAAAACGAGATCATGTAACTTTAATGACTATAATCATATTCAAATGTTATATTTTCGTCTATAAACTTTTTATTAGCAATATTTTAAGAAAGAATATGAAATCATTATGATATTATGTATGTTTCCCTGTTTAGAACATAATATTTTGTTTTATACTAATTCTTATATTGAATTGAAATGAATTAGATGTGGATTTAAAATGATGTATTTTTTTTAAAGAAATGTTCACTTTTATCAAAATTAAAATTAAATGAGTTTTTGGATTATATTTTTCTTCCTAAAATAACATATTTGTTAGTATTTTTTTTGTTTTGCTACTTCAATAAGATCTATGTCTAGACTTGACGCATCCTAAATTTAAATCTCCCTTAATTTTTAAAGTAAAAAATATGCGTAAAACTATTTCAAAAATATTCTTTGTACTTGGTCTGTATGACTCAGGCTCTGTCCTTTGACTCTGTAAATGTGTCATATTCTAGGAACAATTCTGAATCATTTTGTAAAATTTTGCATATATTTAAACTTTGAGCAATTTGTCATTATAAAAATAAAATCAAATTCATTGTGACATCACATGACATAAAAAATAGTAATACACGTATAAATTTGAATGGGGCCCATTAGTTCACACATCAAAATGTTACCGTTGACGCCAGCGGAATATTCGCGGAGCTGCTGGGGATTGTCGGACACTATATAAAGCTCTACTTATTTGTTCCTGTATTATTGAAATAAAAAACGTAGGCGCCAAAAGAACCAAAACTCCCGCCGTTTCTCAATTATTTCTTCCCCGCTTCTGTATTAGGATAGTCTTCGCATGAGAAAGCTGAACAGAGAGGAGTGGAGATGCCCGGCCGCCAACCTCACCCAGCCACCCCCGTCTCCGCCGTCTTCGCCGCCCCCAAGCGCAGCAAGAAGCGGGGGAGCTATAACTGCGGCCGATGCGGCGCTCCGAAGAAAGGACACGTTTGTCATTTCACCCCTGCCCCTACCGTGAACACCAGCACTCCAGCTATCAGCGACTGTACCTCATCGGATTCGCATTCGCCTCTCGTCGCCGGCGACCCTCTTCCTCGCCAGCCTCCCTCCCGCCTCCCTCGAGCTCTCTCGTTCGACGAATTTGACCTGGGAGACTTCCCTGGACCCGAAGACGAAGATGTCCCGGAGTATCCGGATCTGGACGGGTCGGGGAGCTTGCCGTTTGAGTGCCTGTGGGAAGTTCTCAAGAGGCTTCCGCCTCCAGCGCTGCTTTTGACGGCCAGTGTGTGTAAGGGATGGAGGGATACTGCTAAGCTGCTGTGGAGAGCGGCGGAGGAGCTCCGGCTTCGGGTTCCGTCCAAGGCTGAGGTTGGACACGTCAGGTCGTTGTTGCAGAAGTGTCCGGATCTGGTCAGACTTTCTCTAACAATGCAGAGGTTAGGGTTTTGACTTTTTACTATTGAACGATTTGTCAGATTTTAACAAAAAAAAAATCAGTCTCAGGCTTGTAAAAGTGGATTGATTAGGTATATCTATGTTTATTGGTGTTTCAGTGATGTAGATGCAATGATGTTGGCCTGCATTGCATTTTCATGCCCTAAGCTAGAGTCTTTGGAGATATTTATATCCAAGACCTCAGTAAATAGGATAACCGGGTATGCTTTCTGCATCTGTTTTTAATTTCAGTTGATTTGAAGTTTTGAATTTATGCTGTGGTAGGTGGACATTCATAACCAAGCAATATATCCGAAGGATATGCGGATTTCTTACTTTTTCTTTCTTTAAAGTGTGCATATGATAGTTTTTTTCTAAATGTGATTTTTTGTGCTAGTTTTTTGTTTGATCACTATATTTGATATTAAAATCCCACAGATTTTATTGATGAATCACACACAGGATATGGGTTATCAGTTTATCTCTATTACTGTGTGGCCCCATTCCTCAACATGAACTGATGGCAATACTGTTAAAATCAGTTATAGGAGAAGAAGTCCTGGAACTATTCCACCATTTCACTATGGATGAAACTAAATAGCAGAAATAAAGAAGATAAACTGCAGTATTGCCAAATGGTAGCACCGTGTGTGACAAATTAGTGATAGAAAACTTGTGAAGAATTGCAGGCCATGGCCAGAGTAGCCACCATCCATCAATAATGAATTTTATGAGCTGATCAGATACACCATTGTAAAGTATACAACTTGAGCTAGATAGTGCTGTATCTGAATAGGTTTTGACAACATGATATTGCCCATTTCCCTAAAGAAATTAGTAATGTAGATGAAATACCCCCTGATTATTTTTGCTTCCTTTATAGAACACACTTTTTGCTATCTGCCACTAATACTTTTGGGGATAAGTTTTTTGGTGGATAATATATATTGAGCATTTGAAAACTAACCTGTCCAGATCAGTTTAATAGTTAACTATTATGTTCATTTTCATTTATGTATTAATTTAAGAATTCATGTAGGGATGAATTGAGCCATTTTCTAAGTGATAGAAAATGTCTTTCTAATCTCAAGATGGAAGGATGCTCCAACCTTGGAGGTTTTGTTCTTTGTTCTAGCAAGCTGTCTTCACTTTGGCTTTCCGAACTTCGCTGTCTCTCTAAGATGGTACATTCTATTTATATTAATGGCAGCTTGTTGTATTGTGAGTTGTTATATGCATCTCAATTCTCAACGTTGATCTCAATTGTGGAAATGTACTGTGTTTAAATAGGTATTCAAGTGTCCCAGTTTGAAGGAGATTTCGTTGGACTTTTCCCAAGAGAATGACAACACCGATATCACAACCATGGTTGACTGTCTTGGAAGAGGCTGTCCAAGACTGCAAAACATTCATATTTCTTCTGTTCGACTCTCACATTCTTCTGTGCTTGCTTTGGCTGGAGCAAACTTGAGGTTTGACTCTTTTGCTATTTCTTCTGGTTCACAATAAATGTCATCTGTGGAGGAAAAGTTTAACAATAAATGTTGGTTCATAAAAAGAAGAAAACATGCAATTATGTATTCTCTTTCTTCTTCTTCTTTATCCTTCTCCTTCATGACTCATGAGGGTGAATTTTTCAAAAGTTTCTCCATTTTATGACCCCTTAATCTGTGTCGTTCTAAAATGACACTTGTCGTGAACAAGAGGGGGTAGCTAATTCCCAGAATATGTGAAACCTATCGAGTGCCCTCCCAACTAACAATGAACTTGTTGAATTAACTTAATGTAACTGCTTTGACCTGCAGATGGTTGCGAATGCTTTCCCTTGTACTTGGGTCTGAAATAACTGATGCATCTGTTGCAGCTATTGCTTTTAGCTACCCAAGGCTTGAATTGCTTGATCTGAGTGGGTGGGTTTGCATTCCTTAGTCCTAAAAAGTTCATTTTTGAGATCTCTTTCTTATTTTTTGAATGTAACAATGTTCCGATCATGCCTTAATTTGTGAGAAATCTACCAAAACAAAGACAAAAACTAAATTGAGAATGCTGCATCTATGTACAATAATTTAGTTTGCATTTTTAACCAGCATTATTTAGTTTCTTATTAGATTAATTTTTTTGCTTCTATCTACTTTACTTTGTGTACATTTTTTGCTTTGAGTGACTTCTTTTTGTTTTGATTTCAGGTCTAGTATAACTGATGCTGGCATTGGAATGATATGCAATGTTTTTGCTGAGACATTGTCTAATTTTCTCATTGCCATTTGTCCTAATATCACTTCGAGTAATGACCAAAATGCACCCTCGTTAATACCTTTCTCATCTGTATTAATCATTTAATTGGTATGCACAAGAGATGATGATTAATGCATGAGTTCTTGCTACTATTACATTCACCTTGCTGTCTAGCTTATCTAATCGCTCTGTTCCAAAATTTTGATTTAATCGCCGAGTACTCAATTGTGATTCATTTTGCATGCCGAGTAGTGGGATCATACTAGATTGAGACTTTGTTCTTTTTCTTCAAAGATTGAAAGTAAAGATTGAGATCTCTAGTCTAGTTTAATAAAAGGAAAGGAACGTGACATAATATAAGTTTTGGTAGACTCGAAACAATGGTTTCAGTGTCAGTTCCAGAATATTCGAGGTGAGTGATGGTTCTGTGACTCAGTGAGTTCTTAGTCGTGTTCTTCTTCAGTTCTTTTCTTCTTCTTAGACTTCTTGCTAGGAACTTAAGTTTTAAATATAGAAGTAATTTGCAGTAAGAAATTCTCTTAGAAATTCTTACTAGGAATAATGAAAATGTTTATGTAAGCCAAGTTAGAATTTTGTAACATATCTGTGTAGAAGTTCACTAGTACAGCGACCTAGTAATCGTTCATTAGAAGTTCGACAAGTACTCCGGATTAATCGTTCCTTCTCGCTACTGGGCCCTTCCACACTTGCCTAGTAGCAGTGTATTACCTAGTACTGATATAACTACTTAGATAATGACAAGCTTCTTGTTCTTTACTTAGGTGGCATTCAATTTGCTGCTGCTGAATTGCCTCAACTAGAGCTATTGGACTGTGGAATGACAATATGTGACCAAAAATTAGATGATGAGGAGAACAGTGATTATGACATGCAAAAGCTGCCAACCAGTGAACCACACATTGTGTATCAAAAGCTGATTATCAAACACAGCCGGTTGAAGAAATTAAGCTTATGGGGTTGTTCTGGCTTAGATGTGAGCTTTCTTAGTCAACGCAATATCTCAATTGTCAGCTATATTACTGATCTAAAGTTTGTCCATTTTTCTAATTATAAATTCTGCGCAGGCATTATACTTGAACTGCCCAGAACTTGTTGATTTGAACATAAATTGCTGTAGAAATTTGCAACCAGGTAGCCTTATGTTATGAAATATGAAGTCTTGATCTACCTTTTACCTGTGAATGAGCTGTTGGACAATGAAATATGTATCTCATCTAATCACATAATCACGTGTCTTTGTCTCACTACAGAGAGATTGTTGCTTCAGTGCCCTAATCTGGGCACTGTTCATGCATCTGGTTGTCAAGGTAGTTTGGTTGAGTGCATTCAGACACAGGTATTGATTTTCTTATGATACAATTTTATGCCAGTCATGATCAAAACAGCAATTATATTCTTCTTTTTTATCCATATCTGTATATCAGCCAGTAGTGGATTTGTCCAAACAAAAATTAACTTCCTAGCCAGTTCTCTAGGAATAATACAGATTAGCTCAAAACTGCCTAATGAAGCAGGTCATTTAATATATATAGTTTTGCCACTTAAAATATATGAGAAAATGAAATATGGTTAAATTCTTAATTCTCTCTTACTTGTATGTAATTTGATTTCTTCTTGTTTTTAATAAAATAGATATATAAAACGAGTTTGGACAAATATCTGTGTAAATTTATTGAGTATGAACAAATGTCTTTTTACACATTTATCCTAAAACATATTTTCCTCTACTTTCTTTCCCAAAAAATCTTGAGTTTGATTTCTTTGTGCATGTCTTTTTTGCATTGATATCATGGATCGATACATGTTAACCAACCCCTAAATCTTTTGGGATTAAGGTTTGGATGTTGTTGTTGTTGTATCCTAAAACATATTTTCCTCTACTCTTTCCCAAAATTTCTTGTGTTTGATTTCTTCGTGTATGGCTTAGAGTGTTCCCTCAACTGGGAAAAGTGCAGCATCACCATTAAAATGCAAAGTAATTTTCAAACAAAACAAACCATGTTCCTCAAAAAACAAATCATGTTCCTAAATATTGCAAACTAATTTTCTCTTGGTGGCAATCTGTGCAGGTACTTAGCAGCAATTTTGCAGATGTAGAAACTCATCAGTTCCCTCTCAAACGCATGCCTGATGGTTCCAAAAGGATTCAGGCGGTTCCTTATCTATTCAATCCCCAGGTAATTGGTCCAACACAATAGTATTGTACTGCAGGGTAATAGTTTCTTATACTACGTATTTTGTACTGGAAAATAATGTGTTGTTATATTGCATTATGTGCAGCCATTTGATGAGAAAACAAAGAAGAGAAAGCTTTCAGTACGACGACGCAATTGTGCCGTGCTTGTGAATTACGACTATTGAATACAGTATCTATCTCCTAAAGCAATTAGTTGCCAATGCCTGATGAACTTCTTTCATATACATTCTTGAGTTGAGATACTTTATTATTTATTTAACAATAATAATTATAAATAAACAGTTTCTGAAATGCAAGCTGTGGATATTTGGGTGTTTTTAGTTTTAGTTAGACTTTATAGAAAGGAGATTGCATAATTGTTACTTGGCTTGGGATATTTTCACTTAGATTGCTTTGAGCTTGAGACTTGAATGATCAAAATCACATTTAATCACACTTAAATATACATGACCAAACAAAACGAATTGATCAAATACAGTGATGTATAATATCTATATATATATACAATACTCCCTCTGTTCCAAAAAGGTTTGCCAAATTTCCTTTTTTGGATGTCCCAAAAAGATTTGTCATTTCAACCAAATAGTTTTTACTTTATTAATCCACGTGAAAGTCAAAGTTGGTGAACTTTTTCGGATCGGAAGGACTATAAGATAGAGAGAGGTATGAGGTAGTTACATAAAATGGGTGGTGTATATATGATTAGAATGAACCATCCTTTACTATAACAAGGTTACATTATGTTAGTATATATAGAAATGACTACGGGTTGGAACCTACTCAACCTAGACTAATGAGCTAGGTCCAATACAGGGGCATACTTTGAGTACGATTTAGTAATTTAATTCTGGGATAAGGGTTAGATAGATTATCAAACTTATATAAAAAAGTCAAATAAGCTTTTATATAGGAGGTTTTGTCCGGCCGTCGTCATTTGGGGCGGTTCCCGGTTGAATTTTTTGTTGCAACTTTTTGAGCATCTTATTCATTAAGTGTGGTTTACTCATACCAAATTTCATCTAAAACTTCAATCGGGAAAGCATTGAAATTTGGTATGAGTAAATTAGACTTAATGAATAAGATGCTCAAAAATTTAATAAAAAATTCCACTGGGAACCGTCCCAAATGGCTACGACTGGACAAAGCCTCTTATATAAGGACTTATTTGACCCTTTTATGTAAGTTGGAGGGCCATTCTTACTCTTTCCTCTTTAATTCCTAATTTGGGATTTCACTTTATCATTAACTATTAATTCTAACCATTTACTCTTCGTTCAATTTGTGGAAAATAGGAAATAGAAACTTACTTTTCACCCATCACACTTATCCAACAGTTGAGATTAGTTCATAATTAAAGTTATGCGTAATATTGTTTTCATAAAATTGAATTTTCAAAATCTTCCCGTGGCTAAGTGCCTCGTTGTCTAATTACGTCACTGCTAATATACCAAATAGGATGTTATAGATTTGAGTCTCATCTGAATAAAAGATCGTGACATACTCATCAAGAAATATTATACGTAGTAATAGGTTTAGAATGACACTAAAAAAATATCCCATGGTTAATTTTGATAGTTATTGCTTACGAGAAAAATCTAGACTATTAATTAAATAAGTCTCGGACAAGAAAAAATTGAGCATGATCAAAATCCCATGGGCATGTATGATTTATCATCTCTAGCTATATGTATGGTGGTAGGATTGAGCTAGCAGCCGGCCATGCGGGACAGGAAAGCTTTCATAATGAAGCTCACATAAAATAATCAGCTGCGCTCGAATGCACGTGTGGCAAGAATGCATGTAATACCACATCTTCAAATAATAATAGACACATGCATCATAATTCATACATGTATGTCGCCCATCATTGGGTCATGCCAGGCTGCTTCTACACGGCCACCCTTATCATGCATTGTCATTGATGGAGGACGGCGAGGGCGGTGGGCAGGGCCGGTCCCGACTCATTAGAGGCCCTGTGCAAAATTAATTAGGAGGTCTCAATTTTTAATAAAGAAAATATCACAATAAGAAAAGTAAACTCCATCTTGGTGCACAAGTACATTAAAATAATTGATTTCACAATCCTAGCCTCCCATGTATGAATTGAATTTACAAACAGTTAAGAATTAAAATGCACTTGCTTCGTTGCTCGGTCATTAAAAACTAGCGGAGTAAAAACATCTTTTAGATCACAAGGATTCACGGCATCTGCCCAAACTCTCCATTTTGTGATACAGGAGATTGATTCCATCAATAAAGTATTTTTTTCAACCATATCTATTACAATTGAGATCATTTTTTTGTAGTGTGGGTTATTTCTCCAAATCCCTCCAATATGTATGTCAATTAGGAACACATGGAAGACAAAAGAACTAGAAACAGAGTACCTAAAAACCATAAGAAACCGTAGAGGCAAAAGACGTAAGTCTCTCCCTCTGTCCCGTGATTCCGCGGCAGCTTCGTCATTCCGCAGGAGAGAAGTGGTTCAAAGAGGAGGTGATTGAGAGAAAGAGATCTAGTAGTTGATTAGTTGCTCCTTTCAAAGAGTCGCTTTGTGGATTATAGAGAGTCTCGATCTTTCGCGTATTGTTTGAAAAAGCCATGTAAATATTAATATTTGGGTAATATAGGCCTTACATATCTATTGAAAATTGGGGCCCTTCTTTCAGGTGAGGCCCTGTTCACCCGCACCGGTTATACCCCCTCAGGGCCGGCCCTGGCGGTGGGCATAGTTTAACTGATAAAAAAGATATATATGTACTTTAAAGGGCAAGTAGTCTCAGTGTTTGAATGCTGATAACTACTGTGATCTTACTATACAAAAGAAAAATTAGATCAGAATCTCACATCCTATCTGTGAGTCTGTGATTAAAGTTCAATTTTCATACGTCAATTAAGTAGGACGGGCTGCGGAAGCCGAGCCTCCCGATATCAAGCTTTTAAATTTAAGGCTTACACACTTTTTCTTATTGTCAACTTAACTATCTTCAAATATCTAATTTTATATAATAACTATTCATCATAATTCATATAGAATCTATTTCAAAAACAATACTCCGTATTTATTATAATTCATTACAATCATTACAACTTACGACTATCGCATTTCATCCATCATAACAATGCCTTATTACTAATAGATTTAGGACATACGGAGTATATATCTAATAAATCAAATACCGATCGAGTATAGTTTTTTTTTTTAAATTTTGAAATGGATTCCAAGACTTTTGGCTTTGGATTCCATTTATTGTGAGGTGATTATAAACTAGAACAAACGGGAACAACTATAATTGGACCAAACGTATTTAATTTTCTCTATCTTCTGGATGAGATAGATTTACAAGTTTCATTGTTGGTTAAAATTTGTTGTGTATGGTATTAATTACTCATGTAACCGAAATAGTAATAGAGTATTCCACGACTACATCTTTACATGTAAAAATGAATCATTTCAGCAATGCTAGATTGATATGTTTGTTCATATTCTAAATATCTGTTTGCCTTTAGTTTTTCATCATAAAAATGAAGTTTTTTTTTTCTTCAATTTTTGGCGACTCAAAAAATTATTTTACCCGAGTATGATGCAATGGCTTCCATGACCACCTGAGAAGTATTTTAACCTAAACACTCTTAAAAGAGTAATCTATTGGAAGCAGGAATCTAGCCACGTTCCCCCGCTAAAATTAGTTTATTGAATTTGATAATTACGATTTACGAGTATCAATTCAAATACTCGTACTGTTTTCCGGTTTTATACTTATACTTATATACTCCCTCCCAGGCCGGGGCGGAGTCAAGGGAGGGTCAGGGTCCGATCCCGCTAAAAGTTTGAGACTTTGAGAGTATAGAATTCTGAAATATCTTCGATTTGATATATTATGGCTTCCGTAACTCATTACGAGCAAAAAGTTATGAATTCTGCAAAATCAGCACTATCTAAACGTAAGATTACCAATATTTGATGCATATTATAGATTATTTTCCCAAATTTTAGAATTGGGGTGTATTAAAAATAGAGCAAATACAATCCATCTTTTTTTGCTACAAGTGCCTATTATCTAAACTGCATGCATATGAAATATCCAAATTAGACATTGTTTAAAAACGATCCAACATTTTCATTCTGTATATAGGTTGAGTTTCGACCCCCCTGAGCAATTTTTCTGGCTCCGCCCCTGCTCCTTTCGTCCCTTATAACTTTGTCAACTTTCCCTTTTTGGATGTCCCATTAACATTGTCACTTTCTCATTTAAGTAATGAATTTGTGGTTCTATTAATTCTCTCTCCTCTGCACAAAACCCAACCACACAATTTTTACTTTATTAATCCGTATACCGGTCAAACTTGGCAAAGTTATTAGGGACGGAGGGAGTATATAATAAATATTGTCATGTTATTTCTATTTCGAAAAGAAATGTATAACAAAGAAAATGCGTTATTGTTTGCTACCTCTTTGATCAATTCTTAATTAGTACTTTCTCACCTCTCATTTTGTCACAAAAAGTTAGTTTTCGATCAGGCACTACTGTGTTTATCAATATATTTAATTCATTTTTATTGAAATTCAAAAGAACTCTTATAACAAAAAATTATATTGATGATGATGTAGTTTGTTAATAGATAAATAAATAAATTAAATCAAATAAGAGTGTATGAATATTTATATTCCGACAAATTCAATGATGAATATTTTATTAGTATATTATTAAATTACTAAATAAAATGAAGTCAAAATAGAGTATATGATGATATGAATAGTGTGTAAAGTAATGCTAAAACATAGTTGATCGAATCGATTGAATTTATTAATGATAAAATTATGAGTGAATTGACTCAATTTAGTGAGAAAAATAGTGGTCGATCTTTAGACAATTCACTGAGAAAAATCATTTATTTCAATCTTAGTTATTTAAGTATGCTGCACAATTTAGAATGTTAAATAAAAATTAAATAATGTCCCACCCAAACAAATTGTGATAGGCCGAATAAATGAGCTACTCCAAACTATATGTAAACGTGTACTCTAGTATATAATAATGTACGTTGAAACATTTTTTTTTAGAATACATACGTTGAAACATTATGAGACTCTTAATATATACTAGTATATTATTTGGAAATTATATACTTGAGGCGCATATTATTTGAATATATGTGTGCTTATTTTTTAGAGGGAAAAAGGGCAAATAATGCCACATACTAATCAAAAAAGGTCAAATAAGGCCTTATTTATGAGGCTCTGTCCGGCCTTCGCCATTTGGGGTGGTTCTCGGTGGAATTTTTTGATGAATTTTTTTTAGCATCTTATTCAGTAAGTCTAGTTTACTCATACCAAATTTCAGCTAAAACTTCAATCGGGAAGGCATTCAAATGAATTATTGAAGATAGCTATGTAGTTAAAAGCGCAGTTATCTTCAAGAATTCATTTGAATGCCTTC